CTTATATATTAGCTTTGACTTTTTCTAAATTTGTTAAAATGTAAAAATTATATGCAACGATAAGCTGCTATTCATGTCATCCTGCTAAACAATTGAACTTTATTTTATGTTCATGATTCCATTCCAATAATGTGTATGGTGAATTTGGTGAATTTGTATAATTTTATAAAACAGCTAAAAGTAAGAATTTTTTAAAAATTTAAAATTTCTTTTGGGTACGTCGCCGGTGAGCATACGTTAATAACTAATGGATCATATAGCCAATGGGAGTGTTGGAGTATAGGTTGAGAAAGAACGGGCGGAGACGTGGTTTTCATACACGAAATTCTTTGCCTTTTGCTTTTGAGAACATATGGATGGGATTGCGAGCTTCTTAGTTCACCGTGAAAGTAACAAATCAAAATGTGATAATCGGAAAAAGAAGAATTTATTTAAAGTAAACTAACAAGTTGGATGCATCCCTTTTTTATTATTTTTAAATAATATTTAATATTTTATAAAGTAATATATTTATAAGTAATGTGATTATAATTAATATAATTTTAAGTAATGTGATTACAGTGAAAATAATATTACATTATTTTGTATATAAGTAAAATAATTATTAAAATATAAAAAAAATAATATTAAAGCGTTTGGTTTATAAGTATTTTACTAAAAATATAATGTCAATTTATATAATTATTCATATTTATTAAAATATAAATTTAATATACTTATATTTTTTATTGTTAATTTTTATATAATATCATCTCTTAAATATATTTTTAATGTTATATATTTTATTTTTATTTTTTCTTATAACCTTATAAATTTTATTTTTATTTTTTAATATAATTTTTTATATTATATATATTTTTCTTTTAGAAGATAATATAAATTTTATTGATAGTGAACATGACTCTTGAGAATAACAAAAAGACATTTCTTGAAATTTATATATAAAAAAACAAATTATAGCATCGTAAAATATTTTACAAAATAACTAAATTAAATTATAAAAATATTTTTAATAATATATCATAGTGCAATGTAATTTAATTGTATTGATTTTAGATTACAATTACATTATATCCATTGATTATAATATCATTGTATTACAATATTATATTATAATAATTTATTATAAAATAAATATTATAATATAATTTAATTAGAGAATGTACTCTCACTTTCATTGTTTCAAATATTTTGTAACTTTTAGAAGCCTATGGATGATATTTTTATAAATTTGAATTGAAAATTGAGTTCCACAAAGTTGAATAAAAGAAAATGATGTTGTATCTCAGTTCAATATTTGATTTTCTTCTTCCCATTGAACAAATATTTTGATTAACCAAACGTCAAAATGTTACTGTGTCAGACTTAAATTGCCATGTGCCAATGGCTGCCCTGCCCTGCCCTGCCCTGCCCTGCCTACCCGCGGAAAGTGGGATGGAACCCAGGGTCCGATTATTACTGATTCAAACAATGCAAGTTATCAAAGCAGGAAAAACAATAAAAAAAGACAGAATGTCTTTATACAATAAGGAAAAATTATTATGAATCCGAAAAGGTTACTCACCGTGGAAAACATGGTTGATTTTTTATCATACTCAAATTATAGACGTGTGGAAAATCAAGATTCACCACTGTCTATCTTAATATTTTAATTTACACTTGATATCAGATTTTCGTTTCCTACTAAGAAGCCTACCCAATTATTCTATTGAAGAAACTTTGCCCTTTAAAAATCAAAGCTTATAGTTCTTTGCTTAAATTCATAAAGAATTCCTAATAAAAGATCAAAAGGTTAAAAGCATCTTGAAATAATTGATAATCCATTGTCTCTGATTATTCACAAACGATAAATAGACATAAAAAAAAATCTATAATACTCTTTAATTAAATAACTCTTCATTTACTGATAATTTATATACGTAAATCTCATATGATTAATGATGGAGGATTATTTAATTTAGATAAAAGGGAAAGAAAGTAGGATTGGGCATCTTTCTAACTGCTCTAAAGCCAAATGAAAGTAATGTAACAGAGAAACTAATAACAGACGCTAGTAACAGAGAGTCGTAAACTAGTTTAAAGTGACCAAATATTTGGTGTATCTTCTCAATTCGGTATATGAATCAAATTCACAGGAAAGTTTAAACGATTACAAAGTCAAAAGAACGGTTTGAGTTAAGTAGTGGAAGATTTAAGAAAAATTACGAACATTGGAGGTCCATCAATATCAAAGAGTCTAATGAATTATGGGAGAGCTAGCCTTCAATTGTATATTCATATGTTATAAAGTCATTGTTTGACCTTGCCATATGCATTTTTTTCTCCTCCTCCTGTGGTTTGGTAACTCATACTATAAACTCGCTTTCTGTAATTTGGTTTTTTTTGGCCCCCAATTTCAAACTAATTAAATCAACATAACATTATCGAGACCCACATACACATAATTTTAATTACTCTTCAACTAAAATAAATCCAAAGTATTGGGGAAAAAGGAAATAATCATATTGGAATTACTATTTTTCTGTACAGAAATATCATCATCATCTATTTTTCTGTCTCAAATCTCCAAGAAGCATCCTGATTGAACATGACCATAGTATTTCTCAGGGGTCTCCAACTTTGCCCACTCGGATTTCGTCAAATTCAGCACGTAAGCATTGTGGGGCTCATCGAACCTTGAAGATCCAATCGCTAGCAACTTGTCCTGCCACCTCGTCATGTAAGCAATCTTGCACATATCAGCAGGGAGCTTGGCAATCACTTGCCATCTGCCATCTTTCAATGCTGCCACATCACCTTCACAAATCATATACATATCCGCACCGTCGCCAGCTATGCAAGTCCTTGGACACATGCTGGCTTCTAAGAAATCATCTTGGACGTGATCCCACCGCCACATGGCCATGTCGAACACCTCTGCACTTTTCCCGAATCGACCTTGCATATCGGTGCAATAGCCGCCGATGACATGGAACTTGCCACGGTGGAAAACTCCCTTGCACTCATCGCGCTCCCTTGCCATGTCAGGCAAAGGGATCCACTCATCCTTCGCCACTTCATATGCCAGTGCTGACCTCAAAGCATTCTTCTCCTCATCATGTCCACCAGCAACATACACCAGCCCAGCAGCATCGGAAGCACATCCGAACAGCGAACGCCGTACGCTTGGCATATCATCCCCCCGCCGCCACCTGGCAGTCAAGAAATTGAAGACAAAGACAGAATCGGACACCTCCCAAGTGACCGGGTCCAAACCACCCATTACTACAAGATCAAAACCGACAGCAACTAGCTGGCAAAAATAAGGCAGCCCATCAGGGAATTCATCAGGCAGCTGAGGCAATTCAACCCAGTTTCCCGTATCCGGCTCCAAAAGAGAAAGGCCATAAACAGGTTTATCAGAGCACTCTTTTAGAACACCCTGTTTCGTATCCGAGTCAACCCGTGCTTGAGCCATGACAACAAGTTTTTGGCCGTGGCCAGAAGCCTTCCTTTGGTGAAAAAATTCCGGCAGCTCGATCTCAGTCTTCCACCCTTTACAAGTAGACAAAAGCGTTGAGAATTGATCGTAGGAGACTCGAATTAAACATTCTCGAGCAATATCGTTGGGGAGATTAGGGATCAAGTCCATGGTAAATTGGAAATGAGAGCGTTAATGAGGAGAAGCTAGGAAAGAAGAGAATTCAAAAATGGGCAGAGAAGGCAGCTTTGAAGAAGATAGGTTTAACATTTGATTCACGAAATGATGTTTCCTTTTATAGGGGAGGCGGGTTAAAGTGAGCTAAATTTTAAAGGTGAACCATGCAGACCTTCTGGAAAAGTTAGGAGAGAATTTCTTTTGAACAAAAAGACCAATGGGAGACCTCGGAACAGCCTGACGTTAATTTTCTTTGTTGCCATTAACTTCGAATTCTATAATGGGGGTATTAAGATATAACAGAAACCGTCAAGCCAGGTAATCTAATAGAATATTTTACATGAATTTTTCATGATTAAAATATATATATGTATATTGGGATGTCGCAGGCATTGTGTCTGGAACGTCTGCAAATCAGCTTGGTTTGGTTAAATAATCAAATATGTTTGGAATTTGGATCAGGAATTCTGATAAGCATGTTCACCGTTTTAAGTTTATCTACATATGGAATGTTTTACTACCAGTAATTTCCATCCACCGGATTTGTTCATTTCTTTTTATTCCACTGAAGAGTCTGGTTTATTTTATTTAGTATCTACCACATTTCATGATAATGACGTAATAATACTTGAACATTTGACTAAAAGATTTGACAAATATGCAGGTGAATGAAGGGCTCGTGGTGGGACTATTACTTCTCCCCATGTTCAATCCCTGATCTCAAGTCAAATGAAGTATAATTATGACATCAACATTTATAAATTGGTAGTAGTAAAACCAATGGAATAGTAGTCCTTCGCATGTTTAATCCCCTAATCTCAAGCATTCATTAAAAATCAGGCTCATAAGAATTGTGGCTTAAAGGTAATCATGATTAACAAACAAGATATGAGACCAAGTTTCCCTCTCCTTTTTTAAGATCAAATTCAGGTGATGATTTGTCCAAATACACTGATTCTGAAAACCAGCCTTGGGGATTTTTGTTGACCCTTGGCCTTTCTCGACCCTCACAAATTAAAAAGCTTGGACCAACAAATGGATTAGAGGTAAAGTCAATGTAATTAATAATATTAAAATGAATTAGAAAACTTCCCCAAAAAAAAACACATTGAACTCAAATTGAGAGCCAAAAAAAAAAATGAGAGCCAACGGATATTATATCAACTTGTCGGGTGGGTACCACTCTTTATATAGTAGTATTAAACTTTTACTTCATGAATTTGTTTGTATTTTCTACGGAAACTGAACAAGTAAAATGACAGGTAAAGAATATATATATATATATTGAAGCATTATCGTGTTGAAATTGACCATGTTATTTTAAAGCCTATAAAGCTACTTGTTAATAATAAAACCTAAAGCCTAGAGGTTGGGTTTTCTATATTGGTGAAAGACGTCAGAGACCTTGAAGCCGCGTTGTGTCCTTTTAAACAAAGGAAATTTGAACAGTAGGCACTGTAAAGTTGCAAACCATAAGCTTCGAGCTCCCAAATCAAAGTCTAAATTAACATTATTAACAAAATAAAAAATGGTTTATCATGAGTAACACAATGTCATTCAATTTATCCTATTGTTTGGAAGCTGTACAAGGTTAACTAAATCTTTCTTACCATTAATGTCCTCAAGGAAACACACCTCAAACCAAGAAAATTATGATATTTTATCCCATTCTTACAACAATATATTAGCCGAATGCAATTTGTTCATTCAATTTAATTATATCTTATTATTGTGATTATGAATTTACTGCACATAGTAATATACTAGACACTTTTTCTTCTTGGTTTAGAGAATATCATGAATAGGCAAAGTATGTATGAAGCTTATGGAAAAGCACATGAATGGGCAAGCATTGAGGAACAAACAAATTTAGTCAAATAATAATTTAATCACATTTAGTTTTATCCCATTACCAAACACGCATAGCCTAATTATCCATATGCACCAGAAATACGGAATATTGTCGTTAGTGTTATGCTGTTGGTATTTATTTTTATTCACAAAGGAAAAAGAAAGCGTGAGAGTAACTCTCTTCCTATTTTAAATATTTAACCGACAAATTATTGTGAGGTTTCTGTCTGGACCAACCTTGGCTTTGTTTGAGGTGACTTGCTACGTGCGACTGCCTGCTTCGTTCGTTTGTATAATAAGACAATGCATCTGTTTGGTTGTCGCCAGAGATAAGGATGAGTTGGTATAATGCAAACAAAATTATCAAAATTTATGGCATATAAATATTGAAAAAGAATGTGAATAATATCCAAAGATAGAGATGAGGAGCATCAAGCATGCATTTCTTTTTACATTCAGGGCGACACAAATCCAAAATCCTAAACTACGTTACATGTATGCTGCTCTCATCACTGTTTCCAAAATACTATAATTAGCTTTGAGACAAGAAAAATAATGAAAGGGTTAGAATAATTTATGTCTTGGCATCATGGAAAGTTCGAATCCCAACTCCGATCCCTAGCCTTGGAGTGTTTTCCACAAAGAAGCTTGGAAAAGCTAGAGTCAAAGTTTAGGATCCAAAATTTGGGCATGTTATAGGCTTCATATCAGGGGAATCATGATTCCTTTTCTATAAATCTGTGGCCACTTTCCTCCCTAAAACATGTATTTTTGAAGAATATCAATTGTCCTCCATTTGTCGACTCGACTATAAAGTAAGAAAAAAGGAAAATGTTGTAAGCATTTTCACATTTGACGCATTTACTTTATGGACTTCTTTGTAATGCAGGTGTTTTTAGGCTCGGTGAAAGCTTGTACAAGCTTTAGTTATCCTTTTTTGTTTAGGGTCCCTTTAATAATTAAAAAATAATTTGTTGGAAAAAAAAATTTCAGTGTAAAATATTTTATAAGAAAATTTAATATTTTCTGTTATTTGAAAAACCTATCAAAAATATTTTTTATTGTTTGGATCATCCTATGAAAAATATTTTCAGCTATGATAAATTGGAGTTGATTACAAAGTAATAGTGTTATTTGATTTTCACTAGTTTGGGATCGAAATAACAAATAAACATGAAAATTGCTAAAATCAATAATAATATTTTTCAAAACATTTAACCACGTATCTATAACTATATAAAAAAAGAAGCCTTTAATGCCTTATCTTTGCATCATGTGGAGCGATAGTTTCGTGTTATTTGGAGTTTCAATTGATTGACATGTGGGTTGGTTGAGTTTGGAGGCTTCTAGACATGGGTTTGGTATTTTTGGTCTTCCACCCTAAACGAGTGGGCTTAAGGTCTCCCATGTATGTGTTTTTCATTTTTGACTTCATAATCTCCATTATCATCTCTATTCCCTTTATTAATTCTATCTCACTTAGGTTTATGAATTTCTCTATCAATTCCATTACTTTATCCTCAACCGTAAGGTTTCAAATAATGGATTAGATCTTTGCCTTTTGTCTCAGTCTGACTTTTTCTAACTTGTGAAACCCTATTTGCTGGGTTATAGGCTTTGCATCCATGTGGGTGTGGACCGTTTTTGCTCCCCTATTGCCAATTGTACTTTCATCTTTTGCTTTGTACAAAATTCCAATGCTTTCCTTAGATAAATTATCTTCCTTTGGATAAAAAATAGTTTATAGCAATTAAGTTGTTTAGATTTGGTTAATAGGTGTTTATAGATACTAGTTAAGCATTCCCATATTTGAATATTTTATTTAATGATTAGTGCAATACAATCATTCATACAATCCTTAATTCTTATACAATGATAGTTTATAATTAAAATAACCTCTAATTTTCAAAAAAAATATTATCTAATCACTTTTTTACCATAACACTAAAAATATCAATATTTATCAATTGTGTAACATATCCAAAACCTATATTTATGAGTTTTCACTAGAAAAATATCTATATTAATCAATTGTGTAATTAAGACATCTAAAACCTATACTTATATGTATTCATCATATCATTGAAATATTTTTAATTATAATTATTAGTAAAATTTATTCAATTTATAAATAAAAAATTTAATTTCATTGAATGGTTTTATTAAAAAAATATTTTTTAATTTTAATAGTATTGAATAATTTAAATATTAATATTTTAAGTTAAAAAATTTAAGTTAAATATTAATATATTTTTATTTTTTTAATATTTTAAGTTAATATTAATATTCATCAAATTTACATACTTAGACTTAGTATAAGAGTTTTTTTTTTAAGTTATCTAGAAAATGTCTTACGCTTCTGCCTTCAGAGGCGTAAGACATTTTTTGTAGTCAATAGTTGTTTTTCTCATTGACTTGTAAAATGTTTTGTTAGCCTTAAAATTATGATAGTTTTAATTATGACAAAATGATCAAATTTACTTAAACATTATTTGAGTCATCCTTGACAAGCTTTTGAAATGATTTAACTCTCATACATTTGTTCTTATATAGTTATAAGCTTGACCCTTGAAGTTATTGAACTATATCTCTAAGCATGTATGACTTAGTTGTATAAGTCCTTATGATTCTCATTTATTAAAGTCTAATTTAAAGATTAAAGTAAAATCTAGATGCACTCATTAAAGGACAATTTTGAATGTCTTTTTTAATGATGATAGAAAGAGAGAGAAGGAAGACTAAGTTAAATAGAGTTTGATAGGTCTTTATGTTTAAGTTATGTGTGTGATGCTTAGTTATGGTTTTGTACTACTTATTATGGATATTCAGTATATCTTGCTTAGCTATTATAGATACTGTATATCTTGTTTAACTATTGTAGATATTGCAAATATGTTATTATAAATCTTCAAAGAAAACTAGATGTATTAACTAAGGGGGAGTAATCCTCATTATGCATAAAGATTTAAAGCATTCATATTGAATATAGACATTGCAATCTTAACTAAGAGAGCTTTGTCATCATCAAAATAAGAGAAAAAGAATGTTGACTCCATGTGGTTTAATGATAACAAAACATTCTCATTCATTAGTATCTAATTATTATATTTCAGTGTGTAGGAGAAAGTTTAAATTCTTTAATATATTTGTTGTTTGAAAGCAAGTTAAGAAGCTTCCTATGTTATAAGAATCGTTAATCAATTATAAGAGCAAAGAACAAAGGGCTAAGTGAAAGTAGAAAAATGTTAATTGATT